GTGGTGTTGATGGTGCACGAATGGGCGCAGGGCTCAAGGAATGGAAATGCACGTGATGATGTGAAAGGGAAAAGACGAAAAATGAAAGGTAATTAATGAGGGCAGCGTAGCGCGTTGACGAACGTGGAGTAATCCACACCGTTAATGAAATGATTGAACAGTCGATGAGGATGGGAAAGGTTTATAGCGGGGGATTTTTGAAAAGGTGGAGTATGTATCTGGATTGTGAGGTTTCAAACTGGCAAAGTTTAATCATGATCTGTGGAACACAGGGAAACCTTAGGCATTTGGGCTTGGGCGATTTACGTATCTAATTGTGAGAAATCGACAGATCCCAGACTTGTCTACATTCATTTCTTGTGATTCTCCCCTGTTTCTCATTGCGAACTTCTTGTTCCTCATGGCTAAGTCAATTTACAAGAATGCAAGGGAGATGGCACAAGAGAGAGCCCCTACCTTGACGTCGGATGCCTTAGGCGAAGACGACGAAATTGCACTGCTGGAGAAATATAAGACGGAGAGGGTAAGAGGAAAGAGGGGGGGCAAGGCCGCCACGGCCTGTTCCGACGACAATGATATCGGCTGTCTAACCTGTGAGCCAAATGGCCACTGATCATTGGCATACCAAAGCTGATAAGTCGACACTAATGGCGGGGGATATGGAGGGATTACGAAGTAAGTATTAGATTCCCGTAGATGTTGAGTTGATAGTGCCGCTGGCGACAGAGAGGGCATTAGACATAAGGCCCAGGAGTTTACTTTTTGTACGAAGAGACACTCTAGGGGGGGTTTAAGGTTGCCAATTTCCCAAATTATCACTGATGTGCTAAATCGGCTAGAAGTGGCGCCTGGCCAGTTGATGTCCAACGCAAGGAAGATTCTGATGGTATGTGTGGTTGCCTGGCCGCGGACGACCATTGGGAGAGCGATGTCGGTAGAAGAATTGTTTTCATGTTACAAGGTATCCAGTCAGCATGAGACATTGGTAACCCTGCAAGCAGTGGTGGGCAAAGGACTGGTCGTGGGGCTACCATCATTGGTCAAAGGGTGGCGGATGAAGTGGTTTTTTGTATCGGAGAACGGGGGGAGGGGGGTACGGACAATGTGAAAGGTCCCCACCAAATCGCTTGAACCAAAGTTGGACACTGCGACGGAGGGCAGGGTAAAGCAGGTTAGGCAGTAGCGAGAAAAAGAAAAGGTGAAGTGGGATGACTTGGTAAAGCCCTCTGCCTTATTTGCACTAGGCTTGGAGCCAGAGCCTGGTGAGGGGGATTCAATGCCTGAGGAGGTGGAGGCGACAAGGAATGAGCAGGTGGCAAAGGATAGGAGGATCCTGGCAGTGGCAGAGAAGAATAAGGAAAGGGAGTTGGGACTGGTGCCAAAGGCAGTAGTGGAAAGGGTGGCCCGCCCAAGGCCTAAACTGTTGGCAGGCAAGGACCTAAGTACGTTCGAGCCGCTGAAAGCATAGGTGGACCGACTGAAGGAGAGGAGTAGGGTGGAGATGGAGGAGGTGTTGAGGAAAAAAAGAAAGAGTGGGATAGAGGGTAGAGAAAGGGAGGTCGCGCGAAAAAAGAGAAAAGAAACGGCAGCGGTGGTGAGCGATGAGGTGGGAGTGGGGCCCCAACCAAGGATGGTTGTGGTGGAAGCTGAGCCCTCAAATATGGAGATGGTGGAGGTGGGAGGGACGAAAGATAGGCAGGAGGAGGGGCAGATTGGCGATGTGTAGGCATCAGGGAAGAAAATGAAGGAAAAGGTCAAAGTAGAGAAGAAGAGAGCTGAGGATAGGTTTGCTCCAGTGAGCACAATGGCGGAGGCCAAAAGGACAGCTGCGCACCATCTAGGAGCAATAGTTGGTCATCTGCTAGTGGAGGGGCCAATGTATTAAGTAACGCACGAGTGGAAGTGGACCGTTTGTTAGGGACAGTAGAGGATGTAGCAGTCAGTGATAGTTCCAGGTTTGGGGAGGCGGACTTGATGAGAGCATTCTGTTCTGCGCAAATGCGTCGTTAACATTGGCAACAACGCTGGTGGTTAAGAGTGTGGGCGCAAAGATAGAGGTGGCCCCACTGAAAGTAAAATTGGAGAAAGCCCAGGCTGAGCTGGGGAAAGTGAACGCGGAGTGTGCACGTTGGCAGAGAGTGGCACGAAGTGCTTGCTACCAAGGGCTAAAGCATGCGCGAGATGCCAAAAAGTTAGAGGTGTTGGCGATTGTGCAAGGGTTTGTGGCAGAACGTGCCAAGGGTGGGGAGGAAGAGAATAAGGCACAGCTAGTAGAGGCTAGGGCACAGTTGAGCGATATGGCAGCAGAATTGGCTACTGAGCAGAGACGATGCCAAGAAATCCAAGCCGCCTGTGAGACAGCGAATGAGAGGTTGGAAGAAGTTTTAGTCAATAATGAAGAGCTTCGTGATGCTTCTCTAAAGGAGAAGGAAGAGGTGGATGTGCGGATGGCAGAGTTGGCAAAGGCCTTGGCTAAAGAAAAGGCCAAGTTAGCAAAGTTAGAAAGGATGAGGGCGCCAGAGAGGGCTTCTTATGCAGATTTGTGTGTCACTGCGATGGAGCAGTTTAAGTTATCGTCTGAGTTTCAAATAGCAGTCGACGCAGCAGTGGCAAGGAGCAATACCGGAGAGAGGGAAAGTGGGGCTGGGCCGTCAAACGTGGCTACTACTGAACTAGTGGAGGGGCAGACCAAAAGTGAAATTATTCAGAGCTTCTAACAGTTAGATTTTTATAAGCATGAATTGAGCATGTACTGTGATAGTGGGTGGGTGAGTTGCCAATGGAGGGTAGCTGAGATCTTCCCAGACATCGACGCCAGGCTCTTTCGGCCAGGAGAGGGAGACATTGCTCAGACCTCGCTAGACGAGGGTATCGATGAAGAAGATCTAGTGTCTAGTGGGGAGGAAGGAGATGGAGGTGGGGAAGGGTTAAGACTTAGCTGTATTGCTCATAGCCTGCTATACCAGTTTTTTTGTTTGTTTGTTTGTTTTTTTTTTTGGGGCAAAGTGTTTGTGTAAAGATAATTAGAGTTTGTGTGAAATTTGTATTGGAAGTGTGAAACTGCCTTTGTGAAGGACTTTATAGTTTACAATAAAGTTAAGTTATAAAACTACTGTGTGTCTTGCCTTGTGTTGCCATTCAAGAATTGAGTTGATTTTGAGTTTGAATGCCACGTGTGAAAATGTGTTATTTGGGAAAAAGAATAATTTTGAAAGAAAGAACAAGGAGGAAGTAGGTAATTTGAAAATGGAGTGGAGGTTACTGGACTTGGTTGGGTTGAGCTTAAGACATAGTCTGGTTGAGTTCTTCAGGCTCAATTTTGCTAAGGCTTATGGTGCTCAGTCTGGCTAAGGCTTATGGTGCTCAGTTTGGTTGAGACTTATGGTGCTTAGTCTGGCTGAGGCTTATTTAACTCAGTCTGGCTGAGCTCTATAGGCTCAGTTTGGCGGAGTTCTTCAGGAAAGAGGGGCACAACACCAAAAAATGCAGATTGAAAATGTTTGTCGTTAAATCATTGTTCTGCAATCATAGATTTACACAATGTATGGCAAAAACAAAAATGAACAAGTGTTCTGAGTAGCAAAGTAAACCACACAACAAGTTGAAACGTACAAAAAGTAACAAGAGATATTTATTGAAAATATTACTTTAAGTGCTCTGCATTCCACGGATGAGAGAGGTCTCTGCCCATCATGTCTTGGAGATAGTAAGTGCTTGGGCGGGGTCTGGCTTTGACGATGTAAGGTCTTTCCCACTTAGCTACTAACTTGCCCTCGGCTGGGTTTTTGGTGGAGAGAGTGGCTTCGCGCAAGACTAGGTCGCCTATTGTGAATTCTCGGGATTGGACCCCTCGGTTATAATATGTTCTCATTCTCTGTTGATATGATACCAACCAGACAGCATTTGACTCTCGGAGTTCTTCGATAGATCGGCCTATCACAACTTTTTATTTAGTTCTGGGTTCGGATGTAGCACCCGAGGAGTCAGTAGACCGATCTCCACTGGGATGACCGCTTCGGTGCCGTGTGTTAGGCAAAAAGGGGTCTCACCAGTGGGGGTGCGAGCTATCGTTCGATAGACCCAAAGTACGTTTGGTAATTCCTTAGCCCAGAGTTCTTTGGCGGCTTCCCATTTAGTCTTGATGATCTTCAAAAGGGAGCGATTGGTGACTTCGACTTGCCCATTAGCTTCGGGATGGCCTGGGGAGGGGAAACATGGTCTGATGCCGAGCTCTTCGCAGAATTTCCAGAATTTGGCATAGTTGAACTGGAACTGTTTTTCGTTATTTGAGACGATGGCCTAGGGGATTACGAATCAGCACATGATTGACTGTTAGATGAACTTGGTGGTGTTTCATTCAGTGATTGTAGCAAGAGGTTTTGCTTCCACCCATTTGGTGAAGTAGTCAATGGCAACCACAGTGAACTTGACTTGGCCCCTGCCAGTGGATATAGGACCAATCAAGTCGATGCCCCACTTGGCAAAAGGGTAGGGACTGTTGAGTGTGATCAGTTTCACTGGCGGTGCCTGAGGAATGTTGGCAAAGCGCTGGCATTTATCACACTTAAGCACAAAGTCACTGGCGTCTTGATTGATCATGAGACAAAAGTAGCCTGTGTGGAGAATTTTATGGGCTAGAGATCATTCGCCTGAATAGTTGCCACAAATGCCTCGTGTATTTCTCTCATCACATAGGTTACTTGAGTAGAACTAAGACACTTAAAGTACGGGCGTGAGAATTCCTGTTTGTACAGTAGGCCACTGATGATGATATAATTAAACGACTGGGCCCTGACTTTAGCAGCCTGCTGTTTATTATTTGGTAACACCTCTTGTTCCAAAAATGGGATGATGTCTTGGGTCCATAGGATAGGCTCGTTCTGAAAGAAGTGGACCTTCTGTGGATTTTGCAAAATTGCTAGATGGTTCAGGTATTCAATTTGAACGCCGTGAATGAGGTCTGATTGGTCGGTCGAGGCTAATTGAGCCATTTCTTCTTCCTAAGAATTTTCTGACCTGGGGATGTGCCTGATCTGGAAACTTTTGGAGAGGCAGACAAGGGGAATGACAATGTCCCTGTATGCTCGCATTGTCTCTTCCTTCGCGTCAAACTCCCCAGTAATCAGTCCAACAACCAATTGGGAATCATTGAACACTTGGATATGGTCTACCCCAATGTCTCTAGCCAGTCGAAGACCTGCTATCAGGGCCTCATACTCAGCTTCGTTATTACTTGTGTCGAACAGAAAACGGAGGGCACATTTGAAGTACTCACCCTTTGGGGTGGTGAGGATCAGACCAGCTCCGCTACCTTCTTTTCGGGATGAACCGTCAATGTTGAGGGCCCGCGAATGGGGATTGCCGGTCTTAGGGATGGCTTGCAGCTGTGGGGGGAGCATGTATGGGGTAAGATTGATGAATTCCAAGATGAAATTAGCAATGGTCTGGCCCTTGATGACTGTTCGAGATCGGTAAAAGATCTCATATTGGCTTAATTCGACAGACCATTACATGAGCTTGCCTGAGGACTCTGGTTGTTGCATAACTTTTTTTAAAGGTTGGTTAGTAAGGACCACGATGGAATGGGCTTGGAAATAGGGTCGAAAGCATCTGGAGGTGATGACTAGAGCCAGAGCCATCTTCTCTAACAAGGGATAATTCCGTTTGGTCCCCCGAAGTGCTCGACTGATGTAGTAAACCGGGCGCTGGATCAAGTCTTTTTCTCTGATTAGGGCAGCATTGATCGCGGTAGTGGAAACGGCCAAGTAGAGGAAAAGAGTCTCCCCTAGGATTGCTTGGGAGAGTAGGGGAGGGTTCGCCATGCATGGTTTTAATTGTTAGAATTCCTGTTCGGACTCGGCGTTCCAATCGAAGGTTGTCCGAAGCACCTTGAAGAATAGAAGGCACTTGTTGGTTGCCCTGGATATGAAACGGTTGAGGGCCACTACTCTGCCTGTGAGCCATTGAACCTCTTTTGCTGTTCTAGGAGATTGAATTTCTACCATGGCCTTGATCTTTTCTGGATTAGCTTCGGTACCTCTGTGGCTGACCATGAACCTCAAAAACTTACCAGACCGAACGCCAAAGGCACACTTTTCTGGATTGAGCTTCATCTTGCAAGGCTTGGAAGGTTTCCCGCAGGTCAGTTAGGTGGTCTGAAGAGAGTTTGTTTTTGACAAGCATACCATCGATGTAGACCTTCATATTCTTACCTATTTGGTTTTTGAAAACGGCATTGACTAGTTGTTGGTAGGTTGCCCCCGCATTCTTTAAACTAAAAGGCATCACACGGTAATGATAAGTCCCTCTATCGGTAATGAAAGAAGTGTGCTCCTGATCGGCTGTGTGCATTAAAATTTGGTTATAACCTAAGAACGCATCCATGAAGCTGAGCATCTGGTGTCCTACTGTTGCGTTGACCAATAGATCTATCCTGGGTAGTGGGTAGCTATCTTTAGGGTAAGCTCGGTTAAGGTCGGAATAGTTGACGCAAAGCCTTCATTTGCTGTTATTCTTGCGAACCAGTATCACATTGGATAACCACTTGGGATAGTCCACGTTTTTAATGAATTGGGCCTTTAACAACTTGTCTACCTCAGCGGCGATGAGACTGTTAAGCTCTGGATGGAAAATACGCTACTTTTGGCGGAACGATTGGAAGTAAGGCTCGATGTTGAGGCGATGAGTAATGAAGGAAGGATCGATGCTTGGCATAACCGAATGAGTCCAAGCAAAAACATCACTGTGTTCGATTAAGAGAGTCATGAGATCGGCCTTGGCCTGAGGAGACAACTAACTACCAATTTTAGTCGTCTTCGTTAAATCACTAGAGTGGATGGGCACTTCTATTAACTCTTCCACTGGTTCTCCCCTATTAATTCTTCCTCATCCCTGACGTCAAGACCTTCAATGATCATAGCTTCCTTTATTCTTACTTTCTTTAACGAAGCGACGTAATATTCTCTGGCCACGGTTTGCTCTCCCCTTATGGTGTCGACCCCATGATCGGTTAAAAATTTTATTGCTAGGAGATAAGTGGAAGTCACAGGTTGGAAAGCATTGAGAGTTGTGCATCCAAGTATGACGTTATAAGCGGAAGGGCAGTCGGCAATTAGAAAGGTGAGAATCTTCATAGTTTGCCTTGGGTGCTTGCCGATAGTGATTGGTAGGTGTGGACACCCCATTTTTGACATACCTTAAGACTCAGACGTCACCGATTGAGCGCTTGGTGATGTTGTATATCGTGCTCGTTCAGAGGTTTCAGAGTCTCGGCTGCGAGCCTTGCCTCCGGACTTCCGGACTCTTTCATGCTTTGCCTCGATTTGCGAACCAGGCTCTATTTTCTCTGTTTTCTCTTCCCGAAGGGAGGGAGAGGTCTCATAGATCATCTCTCAGTGGCCGTAGGCTACGTTTTGCGGTCGCAGGCCATTTTGCCCGTTTGGAGTCCGGTTTTCGATTTTTCGGAGCTGTTGGCTGTGTGCCTCGGTTCGGGACCACTTAACCACCTCCGTTTGCTCTGGTTTTTGGCATGCATCTTATTTGCTCCCTTTTGAGGGACACTATGGCTCGAGAGACCAACTTCGTGGTCGAACACCACTTCCGGTGCCTAACAGTCAGTTTTTGGGGCCTCGGGCTGCGCGTTTCGGCCCCCGAACCTCCATTTTGCATCGGTTTGAGTTCATTTTTGGCAGGGACCTCTGTTTCATTGTTAGGAAGGTCATAGAAGGGTGGGAGGCCATTAATTTTTCTGACAACCAGTTTATTCCTCCATCGCCCTCTGTCGCCCGTTTTTTCTCACTTGAAAGCCAATGTTGACCACCCTAAGGCCACTTCTTCTTGCCCCAAACTACATATTTGTGTTGTACACACCTGGGAGTCCACCAATATCATATGGCCGGCCAGTAATTCTGTGTGACCCTTTCGAACCCCTCCTAAAAGTGGCCTTTTCTCTCTCCTGGTTCACTTTCTCCAGTTTTTGACCACATGGTTGTGTTGTGCACACATGAGAGGCCCTCTTTTTGGCATGGCCAGCCACTAATAATTCTTGACCCTTTTGACCCTTGGCTGGCCGGCCATGGAGAGAGCCGGTCGGCCACCTAAACCCTAGGAAACCGGCCGGCCATGATCCTCTCTCCAGGTACTTTACAGAAATGTATTCTGTTTCCCCTCAGATTTTGTATCCGGGGGGCTGCACTTTTGGGGGGAACCTTGAATTCCTTTCCCCCCCATTTTCCCCCCCTCTTTTTCCTATATAACAGCACCTCCAGCTGCATTTCAAAGGGTTACAAAATTTGTCTTAAGGCTCTTGCATTGCCTCTCTCTTTCTCTACAGTCCAACCTTCAAAACCTTCTAAACCCTACACCATTTCTACACCACCACCTAGAACAAAGCCTCCATCTTTCATTCCAGAAATGTGAGGCTGTTTTCCAGAGGTTGAGAGCCACCAAACTTGGTCCAAGAGTTGTTGAAGACATAGGCTACAAGGGTAAGTCTCCTTCTCCCTCTTTCTTGCCTATTTTTGCTCAATATATTAGCTCCTCTTTCTTGTATATTTGGCTCCGAACCTAACTGAAAATAGCATTATTTTGAGCTCCTTTTCATGTTTGTTTAAGGGCCTCTCCCTGTTTGAGGCTTCCTTTTAACACTTGCTTCTTTACCTCTCTTGTATGCCTCTTTCTTGCATAGTATTTTAGGCTCATTTGTAAATTGTTTTGAGCTTGGTTATAAACTGAAAAGTGGCTTATTTTGAGCCCTTATTCAATATTTTTCAAGGGCTCTTCACTGTTCGAGGCTTCCTTTTGTCACTTGCCTCTTTATCCCTCTTTTGACCTTATTTTTCCATGTTTTGTTAGCCCCTTGTGCTTGTATTTTTGGGCTCTAGTCCGAACTGTAAATAGCCTTATTTTGACCCCCTCTTCATGTTTGATCAAGGGTCTTTTACTGTTTGAGGCTCCCTTTTTTCTCTTTGTGTTTAAACCTCTTTTTAGACCTTATTTTGCATAGTATTTTAAGCTTGCATGTGCACTGTTTTGGGTTTGGTAACTAACTGTAAAATACCATATTTTGGGTCCCTCTTCAACTTTGTTGAAGGGCCCTCCTCCGTTTGAGGCCAGTAACCATCACTTGCTTCTTTGTCTCCCTTTTGGCCCATTTCTTGCACAATAGTTTAGCCATACTTGTGTTTGTTTTCGTGGCTTGTTGTAAACTGTAAAGTGATTCATTTTGAGCCCCTCTTCAACTTTGTTGAAGGGATCTTGGCCATTTAGGGCCAGAATCTGCTACTTGCTTCATTACCCCTCTTACGGGGCCACTTTTGCATGCTAGCTTAGTCCTATTTGTGTCCATTGTTTGGCCTTGCTTAAAACTGTAAATATGCTTGGTTTGGGACTTTCTTGATTCTGTCTTCACACTTCATGTTCAAATAATGCATTCTTTGCATAGCCATAGGTCATTCCATGTACCTCATTTCATGTTTCGGGATTCATTTCATGCATCGGGTGCCATGTTTCCATGTTTCGGGGCTGTTTTGCATCATATTTCAGCACTAAAATTTTAATGTTTGCATACCATGTTTCATGCCTTTCCATGCCTTGTTAGGGTGGCATTTGTGCCTTAGGTTCGGTCCTCGGTTTGCGTGCATGTGTGCACGCATTTCGAGTGTCTCACTTTCATCTCATGGCTACCGATGTGAGTGTGGCTGAGGTCCACTCATGTTGGTGTAAGTCCATTGTGCATTTTGTATGCCATTTCAATTCATCGCATTGCGTATGCTAGGTTGTATGTTAGAGCATCGTGTATGCCATGTTACATCGTGCATTGTGTATGCCATTTCATAGCATTGTGCATGCTAGGTTGTATATTAGTTGCATTCATGTATGTCATGCATATTGCATTGTGCTTGAGATAGGAATTAGCCCAAGCATGGAAAACGAGGTACGTTTCATACTCCGAGTGATAGAACGTGTCTCAATTCCTGGTCGTCGACGCTCCGAATTATCCATGATGGAGTCTAGGCCTTGTTGTGTCCATATGTGCATTCATTTCATATTGAGTCGTGCAATTCGACTCCTCGGCCATCATGCATCGATATGCGTGATTGGTGACACGAGGATCGAGGACTACACTCCCTGAAGGGTAGTCATGCATACATATGTGAAAATACTTTGCCATGCCCCTTTCTTGCTCTCTGTTACGGCAAATCAAGAGTCAGCAGCCTTCCGGAGCTTGGCACACATCCCAAGAACAATTGCAAATAGAGGCTAATTGGGGCATCGCAATGGATTTCCCCGCAAGGCAACCCGAACATGCATCATTCATCATCCGGATCAGAGTTGAGGCACTCCCTGGCTTGCATGCCAATTTATTACTTTCCTAGTTAAATTTGTAAATTAATTAGGGTTTTGTACTTATTCGGACTGTAATTATTCATTTGGGACTGTATATTATTTATTCGGACCCTCCGAGCGAGGGCACAACTGTAATAAGTGTGCGTGTGTGTGATGCACGTGCAAGAATGGGCAAGTTAGGGAAGTTGCACACTATCTAAATGGCACATGCAGGAGGAGGTGTGGAAAGAGCCCCGAACGTGCAGGGATGAAGGCCGCACGTGCAGAGAAGGGTGCCACACGTGCAGCACTCTAGCAGTCTGAAAACTCTATTTTTTATCTTTTTGAGGCCGAAAATATCTCATTTTCTAACCTTTTTCTCTCACTCTAAAGGCCATTTTCTCTCATTCTCTCTAAAAACCCTAACCAAAGCACTAAAATTCTTAAATCTTGCTATCCATTTGGGCTTAGATCATCATCATCCTCCTCCAATCTTCTAGATCAAGCTAGAGTTTCACTTGGGTGGTAGAGGTTGGAGGATCTTCCATCAAAAGCTAGGGTTTCATCATTTTCTCCATCAAGCTTGAGGTAGGGGAATCCTTGAGTTATATATACATGTTTTGCATCGTTGTTGATTGATTTAATAGTTCCATGAAGCATTGGTGTTGATTTTGATCTTTATGATCTAAAATGTAAAGGGTTTTCAAAATGGGTTTAAAGCTCAAATCTTTTTATAAATCCTTGTGGGTTTTCCTATTTTAAAATGTTTTGTTCCAATTCAGGCGATCCAGTCTATACTTGTATGCTGTGCGCACCACATAGTAAATCTAGGCTAATAACCGGAATAAGAACGCATAATGTTTTCAAAAATAGATATCATGGTTAGTAGAGGCCGATCTTTGATCGGGCGAGCGGGGGTGCTCACGAAGTGACCTTCCCCAATCGTACCCAAGTTCCCGAGCCGAGGTAACTTTGGTGATGACGGACACGTGGCCTTAGGCAAACGAGTTAGGGTTTCCTAAATTTCCCCAAAATAAAGTATTTAGGTGGCGACTCTGTATCTGGCAAAGCAGTCCATGTTTAGCACTTCTTTTAAAATCTATTTTCTCAAAACGATTTGCCGGATTTGGATTCTTTGGTTCAGATTTAGAACCGTGACAAATTGAGAGTCCGAACTGTAGTGAGCCCAATATTGAACGGAACGGGGGACTCGTTCCTCCCGGGGGCGTTCGGGGACGTCTACAGTAGGTCAATGGATCCTATGAAAATTACCCGATCTTCGGTGAAGCCAACTAAGGGGTTTGCAAAGGTGATAGTTTTTTTTCGCCAATCTGAAGCTGTTTGAAAACATTGAGGAAGATAATGTCTGACGAACTACCATTGTTGATGAGCACATGTCAAAGTTTGTAGTTTGAAAGGAGAGAGAAAATGACCGACGAGTCATCATGGGGGTATCAGACACCTTCACAATTCGTATCTGTGAAGGTAATCAATTTTGACCACCGCTTAGGTTGTTTGGGAGGTCTGTCGACCATTGTTACTTCTCTGTCTGATCCTTTTTTGATTCGTCAAAGCTCGGCCCGTTGTGTCGACCGAGATAGTCCGCCACACGCGAGTCCACCTGCAATGACCCTGATTTCTCCTGCTGGGGGAGCGGGGGCTCCTGGAGCCCGAGGTTGGTGTTGGGTTCTATTACCATCCCGTCAAGGTTGGTCGGTCGGTCGGTCTTGGCAGGGTGCATCTGTCGTTCCGTTTTGGGAGATCGGTCCTGGCCCTGCGGTGAGGTCGGGGCGTGATGAACCGATTTAAGCGTTCCTAACGGACCTGGTCTTCGACCTAATCCTTAAGATTGATGCAT